AGATACAATAATATTTTTATGAAGGATTTGAGTATCATATTAACTTAATATGTTCTCACAGATTTCATTCCACATTAGATTTTTCATAATAATTTTATTCCTACACATTCCTATTAAAGCTTGCTATATATAAATTCTAAATGCAATCTCAAAATATATGATGATGAGAGTGGTTATAAAATTCAAATTTTAGTAATTAAATATGTAATTAGATCATTAATACTATGTCGTTGGATGACGTGTATATATACATACATATATATAAATAGTGTAATATATTAAACAATATACTTTGTCATATAACATTTATTTATCAAAATAATTTACTTTTAAATTTTCAGGTATTTCAGTGTCGAGAGTGGAAAGAAATAACAGACCATGTAGCTGAGCAGGTGGTGAGTGTTTACATCTACTTTCAAAATGAATTCTACAAGAATTACATTTATTTCATATTTGGGTTTTTTAAAAAAATGAGATAAGAGAGAATATTAAAAGGAAATAAACTTTTTTCTCTACCCGAGTATTCCTCATTCATCCCATTCAAGTTCCTCAATTATACTTCACATATGCACCAACAACAGGTGCTCCATACTCGTTGTTTATAGTTGGGAGTTCAGATGCGCCAGGGAAACACCCCCATTTGTCCTAACAGTTTTTATAACTCTGCACCTCATGCTTTCTTTATATTCCATTTCAGCAAATCGAAACGTGCAAATGCAAGTTGCGTAGACAATGTTCAGCATCTCACCATTGCTTGAGCCAAAATTGGCATAACATAGACCCGTACAAACGAGAATGTGATAAAGACAAGAAAGTTGGCACATGATTTTGTCATGAGAATCTTTGAACAGTTCTTTAAGCATAAAAACGCTATACCATTTATCAGAAGATATTAATTACAGTGATGGTAAACAAGATCCTTTATTTCTAACAGTTCCACATTGCAAAAAGCAAACAGATGGCAGAGCGGGATAAAAGCAAATGATCCAGCTATGGCTCTCCCCCAAGCTCCACTCGGAGGTTGTCATATGGATAGACTCTTGGTGTCTGGTGAAACAAAAAAGTGATGTGGAAACAATCAGCATGAATATTAAGATAATGTATAAAAGTGGCTATCAGACAATCTTCTGAAATAATATATCAAGACTGCATATCACTGACCCACACTAGCCATGGCCACCCGAAAGGAGAGGCTAAAAGTTCTCTCATATCTAAGCCACAATTCACTTTTTTGTTAGATGGACAGACATGACAAAAATGCTTGTAAAAGCAAAGCCAGTGACTCTAAACCCCACCAAGAACCCAGAGGTATCTAGGAAGAAAAGAAATTTTTATTTACTTCCATCAGCAGACACAATTCAACTATGCCTCACTTCTGAACTAGTCAAGTTCACCCACGTGAGTTCTTTTCCTCAAACTTACTCTGGTTATACCTTTCTACTGAGTACTGAACTAGTAAAAGAGTTACAAGAACATCTGAATGGGAGATTATCCTATGACCCAGCTGAAGCTGGAAACAGAGCAACAATTCTGAAAATGAAAAGGGCACACAAAAGCATTTTCATTTTTTCCCAACTAAAAAGAACTAAAAAAGAATTTCAACATAAAAAAAAAGTAAAAAGCAAAACCAACCAAATGGCCAATAAAGCATTCCAACATACAGAGAAACTAAAACTACCTTCTCAAAAAAAGAAAAAACAGGAGAAGAAGAACCAAATATTATTAAAATTCTACCTTGATATTTCTTGATAATAAAATTTGCGGCAGCTTTGAAATAACAGATTTCAGAAGCACAAAAAGAAACCACAAATTGCTAGATTTTAATAAGTTTGATAACAATTTGAGATGCTCGATTCTAACAGAGTACTCACTACTGACATCCTATTAAAGGGGTAACATCCTTGTATATGGGGATCATTTGTCTATAGAGCAGCAGAAATATCAGAGCATCTTTCCATTTTCTTAAGGCCTATGAGGCAAGGCCTTTGAGTTCTTAAGGGAATCACCCAGTTCTATTGCAGATGAGTTATGAGCTTGACAAAGCATCTTGGGTGATAAAATTTGGAAAAAAACTTATCTTTCTTATCTCCTGGCTATTTTGTGATTATTCGCAAGCAGAGAAACCGGAAGGCTGTTGAGGATGTTTCAATTATTTGATAGAGTTCATGATGCCTGGTTCCAAACCCCTTTATCCCAAGGATCGTCTGCTAATTCAATGGAAGGTATAGGGACATTAAGGATATTATGATAAACTTATAAAATTCCCCTCTCGTAATTGGGTTGCATCCGCTTCGAAATCATTATAACCATTGAACTATAGGCTATGTCAGTATTGGATTCCCAAACATCATAATTTAGTTCCTGAACATTCAAAATTATTTCAAAATATTACTTACGAAGCTTTTTATAAAAGCAGCAAAAGTTCTTTTTGTCTTATTTGGGTAACACAAAAAAATGACTCTTTTTCAATTTTCAAAAAATTCTACTAAACATGATTTATGATCCAAAATTGAACAAAAATATAAATGACATATATATATATATGTGTGTGTGTGTTCTTTTTCTTCTAATTAATAAATATTAGGCTTGGCAGTTAGTGGCTTATTTGGAAAGAGAGAAAAGGGAGGTTCTCCAGAATACTATTCTATTCTTTGATAGGGTTCATGATGTTTGGTTACAGTCCCTTTTTAAAATTTTTTTTTTCTAAGGATTAAGTTCAACAAAAGATTTAAGGGATAGATATTTAACAAACTTATAAACTCTCATCTGTAATTGGATTGCACCCATGTTGCAACTAAGCTATATTTGGAACAAATTTAAATTTGTATGGAATTCATTTACAAATTCACAGTTATTTTACTAGAAGATGATGGAAGTTCTTTCTTTTAAGTCCAAAAATTTGAGTTCATATGTAAATTCCATATAGAATTGAAACAAGATATTTCAAATCCCAGGATTTTGATGGAATTTAAAATGGAATTGTCCCAATTCCACATGAAATTTCATATATACTAAATTCTTTTATCATCCTAATAGAATTTATACATTTTCTTAATTAAATGAAGGTGAATTTGCAAATAAATTCAACACATTTCTATATTTGTTCCAAACATAGCCTAAATAAAAATTCTTTTTCTTCACATAATAAGCATACAGCAAATAACAATTTTACTTCTCATACTATGGTAACCCAGTAACGTAGTATAAGAGGAACAAGAAAGAAAAGCAGAAAACAAGGAGGAAATTTGGAAAAGCTTGAAAATGGAACAGCCTCTTAATTCCTTTGCAAACTAGAAAACGTCATATTTCCTGAAAAACTCGTATGCCTTAGCCTGGAAAGATGCCAAAAATACCACCCAATCCCACACCATAACCCCCTGCCCCTACCCAACCCCCTCAAAGACTCAAATGGATGGAAAGCTTCCCAAGTATAGGGAACAACCCATGACTCCTGGAAGACTGCAAAAAGCAAGGACCATAGTTTCTAATAAACCTCGCAGTGTAAAAGAAGCAGTTATTCATCTCTAAAATCCAGCAAGATATTACATAAATACAGGAGAGAAAGGTCGATTCAATGTTTACGTATATAACAAATAATTGTTATTAATACTATCTACTACAGTAACTGAAATGCAGACTTTGACATTTGAGAATATTTTCACCTTCCAAAGAAGAGATTGAAAATAAAACTGATATAGCATATATTAAGGTTAATTTGTCTACTAGGTATTTGGTGATTGAAACCTAGGTATCACAACTAGGGTTTCTTAGATATCACACCTAAAAAGTCTTAGGTATTATAGTTAAGGGTTTGATCACATGACAAAATCAGAGAGAGAACTCTCAAAACATTTCATTGAATAATTGACCTGTCTCAAAAATTGAAATTACTAACGCCCCTTCTAAAAAACATTTCCTAAATAAAATTAAACTAAAGAATGTTATTCCAATAACAATATAAAATTAAATAGTAAAAGGAATAAAATTCTAAAGTTATTAAAATTATAACAATAGAATCCTAAATAGCACAATAGTCTATATTTAAAATAATTGTAATTTCTAATTTATTTAGAGACTCTAAATTTCCATTCTGCATCACAAACATAATTGTGAAAAAATAAGAAAAGATTTGAAAGTGAAGTAACCAGAAGAAACCAAAGTCCTATGACAATTATCAAGTCTAATCATAGAATGACAGCTTCAAGCATAGTACGACCAATAGATCAGAGATATGCATCACCATCATGCAGAGAGAGGATTCTAATGACATAAAATACATATTTTTTTGAAATAAAAGTAATCAGTATATTACAGGTACCAATAAAAACGG